AATAATTAAAAGCTGTTTCCAAATTCAGGCAGAACTAAAATTTACTAAAATAAAAGGAACACAGTATTCCAGCTAATTCAAATTAGCTGGAGTAATTCAAATTAGCCCAGTTCTGCCCAGAAAGAGTATATTAACAACAAAAAGTTCTTCTGGTGCTTACACAGCAGCCTCAGATGAGTCATAAACTCTAGAGGCTCCCATGATCACCTTATGCAACAATGTCCTTCAAAAGCCAAACACCACAGACATAGCTTAAAGCCTCCAAGGTTGCTATCAATTTCAGGGACACAAAAGTTTTATCCACGGTCTTTAAAATCACAGTCTAAATTGCCCTCTAGACTGCAGAGGAGGATTTGAGAATATAACTGGTTTCGACAATACCCCTACACTTTGAGGTTTCATAAACATAGAGAACTCCTTTTAAGCAAACCCTCCCCACCCCCTGCCCCAAAAAAATGCTTGTGCATCTACTACAGTGCAGAAGTAATAATAATCCTGTGACAAATTCTGAGGTCCACAGAAGTCTCTTCAGTGTCTTACATTAGGAACAAAGAGACAGCAAAACAGATTTTTTTTTTTTTTTTTGGAGAGATGCTCTTTAAAAGAGAACAATTTCTCTGCACACTACACCCATAAGCTTTTTACTTTTCAAAGCCAGTGTCGTCAACAGATCACTCAATACTATGTGGAGAATATTTGCAATTTAGTTCTATTCAAGAAGTGTGCAAGGTATCCAAGCACCTTAACACAATGCTGTGCTGTAACTGAAGTGAGGAAAGCCACAATGATTAGGACTTTCACCTCAAAATCACATATTTGTCGAGTTCTCCACAATTCAGTGAACCAGCAGGTGTTGAGCATGTTTACTGGCTGCAGCCCTGCTGAAAAACAGGAGCAGGTCACCATTACCTATGAAAAGGAAACACTGATAATATCCAAAGCTTAGAATTTAATATTTATCACTTCCTGCTCTTGGAGAACATGCCCATAAGCTGAAATCCATTATTCCTAAAGCTCTTTTATACTGACAAATACAAATAAAAAAAGCTCAAAAACAAATATAATTTTTTGAAATGGACAAAATTCTTGTGTGTTTCACATCTGAGTAAGGCTTTGAACCATTTTCCTTTTTTTCCCACTTCTAATTTATATATTCTTTAATTTCATAATTTGTTCATAAAGTACTGAAACATTTCAATCTCTTATAAAGGTAAATTGTCAGAACTCATGATACTTGGCTTCCTATAGCTTCATGTTTCATGGTTTAACTATTTGATGTCTAGTAAGTGAGCTCTTCTATTCAGGCTATTCTTGTAACTGGGAATTCACAAAACCTCTCTGTTTCGTGCAGTCTCTCCAATAGGAAATGAACTCCCGCTATATCCTTTCGTACCACAAGGGATAAAGCAAGAGTCTCTGTCTCCTCTGCCAGGCTACCAAATTCCATCAGCATAGAAGAAATGTATTTTGAGACCCTTTTGACCAAAAGCAACCAACTCCTCCTGAAGATGTGGAGGAAGGCAAGTGGGAACATGTTGGCACAGAACCCATCAACTTAACCTAGACTTTTTTCCTTAAACTATATTAAAGAGATATTTAATCTGCAAATACTACTTTTTACTCCATTGGCGAAGTTACTTTTCTCTCTCCTATTCTCTCTTGTTCTTTCTTTCTCTGACAATTTTCATACAGAGTTTTAGAGGAAATGTAAGTTACAGATATAGAAGCTGTCTGTTAACATCTGCAGTCTCTTCTGCATCTGACACTGATGTTTTTGCCAGACTTTTATTTCTTGCCAAAAATGAAAGGCATCACAATCTGAATGGTAATCTATACTCATTGCTTTTCCTTGAGTGATTGACTTTCCCTAACTAATTTTCACACTTAGGACTGCTTTTTAAGGACTAACTTCTGAAATACATAAGTATTGCTTACTTATTAGACTGGCAAGGTCCCCTCAAAAATATAAATGTCTAAGAACAGACATTTGAAGTAGATTTGTCATTACAGACAACATAATATTTTTTGTATACATATATATGATAAATATACAAAATTATAAAACAAGAAACTTAAATGTTTAGATAAATTAAGACAGAAGGTAATAAAGTTTGCTCTAAAAATTCTTCTAATGCATAAACAATGGAAGAACCAAACCTATGGAAGAACCAAACTCATTTAGCTCAACTGTACTTAAACTGCATTTAATTCCACAAATACATAGTGTTAATCTTGAATAATGAAAGCTGTTTCAAAGATGGTTCAAACAGATCAGAGTAAGGTCAAACAGATCTAATGCTTTTCTTTCCAGTAGTATAAATACAGAATACCATAAAACAAAAACTACTGTGATTTAAAATAAAGGCTATGATTTAATACAAAAGGAGGTTTCCTTAAGAAAAGGTGAAACAAAAAGAAAAAAAAAACTGAGTAAAAGCTTCAGGATACACACAATGAAATAGTCAAAGAACAGATTTGTTTTAAAATCTCTGCAGTGTTTCTGAGCACATGCTATTACAAGCCAACAACCAAAGAGAAGAAATAATTAGTTTTCACACACCACTGACTTTTATATCAAAGGTACTGCTTGTACACATTGAAAAAGTGGACAAAACTACTTTCAAATGATATGTTCAATTAACTTTAAAGATTATTTTTTCCAAATCTAGAGTGTTTTTTTTTTTTTTAGGGCTGTGTCTAAAAATATAATGATATTTTGATGAAGATTCAGGTTGGGTTTTTTGTTCCCCCACCTCCCAAAGAAATTTTGGAATAGTCCAATACCTCATTTTCGGACTGTCCCAGGCAGTATCCTTAATGTCTTTGGTGCTGTACCAGACACTTACCTAACAAAACATACCACATTTCTGTTGATAAATCCAGCTCAGTATAGACCTATGGTGATTCTAAAGCCATGATTTTTTTCTCCTCTCCAAAAAAACACATGCACATTTCAAGAAACAGTTTTTAGTCAATGAGGATAGATAGTCAGAGCCTACAATTATTTATTACAAAATAATCTTTTGGTAACTTAATTGAAAATTGAAGAAAAAATGAATTTCTCTTTTTAAATGAGGCACCTTTATAAAAAGCTATGTAAAGCTATGAAGGCAAACTCACTAATAATTGGAGACTGCTTTATAACATGATCCACATCACTGCGGATTTTTTTCATTAAATGAATTCAAATCAATTTTTATATTAGATTAAGCAAATTGAAATAGAAGAATTGTACCTTAGTGACCATTCATCCAGATTTCATTAGAATTTTGCCTGAGGAGAATCATACTAACGCCTTTAAAAAAGTAGTATTCAGGTTATAAAAATTGTAAATATCCACTTACGTTTTTAGTTACAAAAAATTAGTGAAATGACCAGATAAATAAGGATGTTAAATTAAAAATAGTTAGCGGTTTCAGCAGTTTCAGTTTCCAGCCGAAAAGAGAGTGCTGTGGATGCTCTATTTTGTGAAGAGTTTTGTCTTATCAGCTGTATTATACTGCAAAATCATATTCATTAGACCATATATGGATTGTTCAAAATCTTAAAGAAGCCTTCTAAAATGACCTTTTCCAAAAAACTATACATTTTTACAAAAAAAAAAAAAAAGGCAATCAAAATAATCATATAAAGCATTGAGCTACACAACAATAGCTCTACAGTAAACAAACAGGACAGTCCTTGCTCCGGAGCAAAAAGTAAGCTAGCAAGAGCAGACTAGCATTAGTCAAAATTTTGTTGCACACTTTTCGTCATGAAACCCTTCATGTACATACTGTTATACTTGATAAGGAATTACTGGAAAAAATAACGACCAACAAAAATCTCCCCAAGTGGCAAATATAAAATGTCTGTTTTAAACTCAGTTTAACTACTATCAATAAACCTGGCTTTGGAGGGGAAGACTCTGATCTACTATGATACTAGCAGTGGCAAAGATCAAAACTAATCATTCGGTAACTATATTTGGTTCTTGCCAGAAAGCATCCACATCTCAACTCTCTTATCCGAATCTGTTTGATTCATTTAGAATTGTCAGAAGTTTCAAATAGGAAGCCAAGTACTTAACAGTCTGCCAGTTCACACTTTGGGTTATTTCCATTCTCACTGTTTCACAATTAAATCTTCCTACTTAATTGTGATTCTTTTCACTTAAAAATAAGACTGCAGACCAGGAAGCATGATATTCAGAGACCAAAAGTCTTCATCAAACAAGTGTACCAAGGTGTCTCACCCTGCATTTGAGGAACTACTAAGAAAAAATCTCCCTGTGATCTTTGTTCTGTCTATGGACAGAAGTACAAGTACAATTTTTTTGGCGACCATAGGGAAGAAATTATGACATGTCCTCTTATCTGGGAAACACTCAGGAAAAAATGTGAGTTTCTATAAACAAAAGTTTCTATAATCTCACTGTCCATTCCATTGTAATGAAGATTTAATAATGAAGTCTTATTTTACTTACTCTATATCTAAATATTTCAAAATAGCTGCAAAATGCTCAGTAGCAGTCTAGGAAAAAAGAGGGAAAAAAAGGAAAGCTTAACGAGAAAAAGTTCAAGGAAGACAGCATGTAAGAGGAAAGCACAGATCCACAACCCCCCAAAAATTATAGTTAACAAAGTTGAAACTCAGAATGAGGAGATGAAAAAACAAAATACAGACACTGAGCCAGTAATTTGATTCTGCTTTTTAATGCAGTTATATGATTAAACAGACCTGTTCAAAAGTAAGGAGGCAATAAATGGTCTCAGATTACGTATAGCATGGATAGTCTGAACTAAATAAATTCAACAAATGTACTGTTTGGATTTTGATCACTAAAATGCCCTGGTATTCAAGACCTTTACAAAGAGATTAAAGTATCTAGTTCCTAACAAACCTGAAATTCCTTGAATCAGCCCTGTTTAAAAACCAATGGCTAAATGACTCAACACTGAGTTTTCATAGTAGTTTTCAGTAAATACAACAGTATTTCTCTGGACAAAAATTAAACTTACCTGGTATATCCCTGTCAGCCACAAATAAGCTGTATCTAGGTGCTGAACTAAGAAAGGAGCCTTGCTTTTTTTTAGCCAGTGCTGTTCGGGGAGACATATAGCAGCTTTTCCCATGTGTTTTCTCATAGGATTTTTGGACCTCATAATATCCTGGTGGTGGAACTTCCTGGAACAAAGCAGAAATAATCAACTGAAACAAGACACAGTTCAGTAAATTCTTAAAAAACAAATTATTACACAACCATGGATAACTGCAAGATAAAGGATAACACCAGCTGTAAAGAAAACTATGGGTTTTTTTTAACTTTACAATTATGCATTTCAAGTATTACAATAGAATTACAAATACAATTATGTATTTCATTTATTCATGAAGTACAATTATGTATTTCATTATGTTTTTCCAAGGAATGTCTTGGCAAGCCACCATAACCAGGGTTAGTCTCGAGTTAGGCAATACTGGCAGTAGTCATTGGCAGCGACTGGTAATAGAAGCATCCTTGCTTTTCAGTGTAAAATTCATCATTAAAAAAAAAAAACATAGAATCTCAATGAAATACTTAATTGAACTCCTCTTATCCTAGCTGAGGAGTTATACTTACGTTAAAAGATAAACCCACTTACTTCAGATTTAATAATTTCAATTATGCTATAACATTTACTGATTTTTAAATCTTTTGTGCTATCCTCTGACATTAATATGGTAATCAACATCAAAGCCACATGATTATGAAGAATGATTATAAATCACAGACTGACATTTCAAGTTTATACACCAAAGTAACAGCTTAACAGTCAAAATTTCCCTGCGGACATTAAAACATTTCATTCATGTTTAGCTGCAGTTTGTTTGTTCATTTTTAAACTTTCCTTTATTTCCTTCTGTTGTATTTGTATCAGAATAAATACTTCCAGGAGACATCTTTCCTTGTAAAATTAAGTTGGCCCTTACAGACATTAGAGCTCCCAGTGCAACCACTGCTATGATCCAAAGGTTAACAAATTCTAGCTAGGAACAAACAGAGAGAACAAATACTTTAAGCAGTTTTATCCTGGACTTTTCAGCTGCAGAATTTGTTCTCAACTTCACAAAAGAAATACTATATTTTTTCCTACAGAAATATTGTCAGCAGTGTGACATTGCAGCTATCAGCTAACACAACTTACATTGTATACTCACAGAGAAAATTATATATTTTACTTAAGGCGGTAGGAATAAGTTAGAAATTTAGTCTGCATTTGTAAGGATTCTCTATATATCCTTTGTGAGGGCAGATGTTCTGTGAAATGATATGATCTTTCTCTGGCTAGACGACAGTTGTCTCACAGTTTAAGCGCTCTCCGAGTGCTTAATATTAGAGATCAATCTAAAACAAACAAAGGGTGCAAACCCAGAAGAGCCAACCTATCACATATTCGTAACTCCTCAGTAAACCTGCAAGGCAGGTGACAGAGTCCCATTGGTATTTTCACATGAAACACACATCAGCATGTTTCACATCAGCAAAAGGATTCTAGCAAGGGACTTGGCAAGTGATCTTTGAAACCTGTGTCTCAGCAGCCTTCTGTGTAATGAAGGCACAAGTGATTCATTCCCATCTACTACAAAGAGAGCGGTGACTAAAGCAGACAGGCAAGCAGATGAAAACTGGCCAAACTCTTGGGCTGCCTTCTCGACAGGCTGGCGTAAAGCGCTAAGAGGAACCTCTGGATGCTGATGCCAGGGATATGCAAAGTCTTGCACTTGGGGATGAAAAACACCAGGCACCAGCACAGGCTAGGCCCAAGCAGGTGGAGAACAGCTTTGCAAAGAGACAGACGGACACGGACACACACACGCACACTGGAATGAGTCCTACAGAGGACCCTGGCGATAATTAAGGGCTTGGAGCAATGTTCCCACCTCTTCCCTCCGTTAGCATGAGCGATCATGCAGCCATACAGAGTCTCACATGGGTATGAGAACTGAAACCAAAAGCACAAACATGAAAACCATGGGGAGAAGGGAGTATAAACCCGAGCTGACACAGCCCACTACTTACTACACAAGCTCCAGTGAAAGTAAAAAGCCACAGCATAATCTTAAAACAATTGCTAAACTACACTCCCCAAAGCAGAACAAAGTGTTATAGGTGGGTTGTATAATTTAAAAAAAAAAAAAAAAAAAAAAAAAAAAAAAAAAAGTCAAGTGTGACCAACAGAAGAATAAAGGAATCTTTAAAAAAAAAAAAAAAGAGAGAGAGAGAGAGCAGTACAGAATGAACATACTAGCAAAGGAACAGACATAGATGCCTAGCTTTACAAAATAAATATTGCTTCGTTGCAAACAAGTATTTGTGGTAGCAAGCTAGTGAGATGACACAGGGAAAGATGTCCTATAAATAAACAAAATATTTTCACAAGGATGTACCACAGGAGCCTCTCTTCTAAAATTCCACCAAAAGCTTTAAAACTTGTACATACAAGTATTTAAAGTATTTTGCTTTGAAACATGTTAGCAAATAGTTTCCTTCCCTAGAGGAAAAAAAAATCACGAATTGTAGCACTTCAAAATGCTGATTGAGAATTATTTCAGTTGAAATTGTTCTTTTTTCAGGGTATTCCATTAACTTGCCTGCTCCTGTTTACATTTATCAGAATGTTCTAAGCATAAAACAGAATTTAAAAGTATTAACCCAATGTCCTGTTAAAAACAGTGAATATGTTCAACTTTTCATCTACTGCAATTTTCATGCCTGGTAAATCAGGCACAGTAACTGAGAGCACATCTTACATTTGGCACATACCTTCACATCTTTCAGCTTTAAGAATGTAATTAGCTTTACCTCGGGTTTTGCATTTATAACAAACCTATTCAAACCTTTCCCATAAGTTTTCTCAAATATTACCAAGACAATCAAACAAGATATGTAGGAAAATAAGGGAAATCTTTGGCAATTTTTTAAAATAGTTTTGCTATGGTTTTCTTTTCTAGACATATTTTTGAATTGTTCTGCCCATTCTCAGAGGTGGTGGACAGTGGTCTAATAGTGAAGGCTGCTAAACTCTATTTTCTAACTTCTCCAAGGAATAAGACCCTGAAAACAGGAAACATTCTGTTGCACATGAGATACTTAATAACCTATATACTTCCTTATAAGCTTTCTCTTCTTCATCTGTCATCTAAAACTTTTCTTTCAGACAATTAAATATATTGTGCCAGGTCCAACTTAATGCAGTAGTTTGTACAACTAGTGGTGGAATTAAAGGAAATTTTATTTACCATTACATTTGCAAACCATGTTTTAAGCTTCTAAGAACCTTCTTCTCTTTTCTAGCATCTTCCTTTCATAGTTCTCTATATCTTTACCTCACAATATCCCACAAGTCATATTCCACTTACTTAGAAAAAGAAAAAAAAAAAAGAAGAAAAAAGAAAAGAAAAAAAGATTAGCTCGCTTCTAAGCAGTTCTAATCTCTCCAAAAACAATGCAGAAGAAATGGACAAAAATTTTCTCTGAACTAGTTTGATCAATTCACACAATGATGCTGGACTTCTGACTTTTGTCCCAGGCAAAATTTCTCTTTAGTTTTTATAAAATATCTTTTATAAAATACTCTGAAATTATTTCAAGGGGAGGTTACATATATTGTCAAGGTTAGTAAAACAGGAACACCAAAAAAACACTTAGAAATGCTCTTATTGTTTGGAAGTTTCATATTTAGCACTGTTATTTCCAATTTTATAGTCTTAGAGGAAAGTAAAATGGAGACAAAAAATTTAACCTTGTCTAGTGTATGCAAAAACAGCCCAAGTAATGTTTCTTTCCTACAAATATAGCTACAAAGAGACAATAACAGTCACTCTCAAGAAGACTTCGATGAGTTCAACTGTGACTGACACACCATAATTTTCACCAACACTATCCAGCTTACAATAAATATTAACAGATTTTTTTTTCCAAGGAGAAATGAAATAAAAGGATTTTGATAAACCAGGTAATTTCCCTTTACCAACCAGCTATCTAACACACATACTTGGAGTATCAAGAATTTCAGAAGAGAGGCATATAAAAAGTATATATACAAATGTCTAATATGTAGACCTTCAACTATAACTTCAACTAAAAGTTTAAACTGATGGCATATAATACTTCACATTGAAAGGTGTACTGGGCTTCATCAAAATCGAGCATGTTTAAATGCTTCAGTCCCAGAAATGAGCTCCAGTGCTAGCAGATAAAAGAAAAAATTTTAATGTGCCATCTTGATGCTGTGTTAATAGAAAAGCTCCCAATTCAGTATAAAATAAATGGAATCAGAAGCTTTCAAATCTTGTCATATCATCCTACTCATGTAATTATGATTACTTTGATTTCATCCTCCTACCAATCCTCTTCCTCTGTAACCTGGAGCAGAAAATAAAGATATGGCGGGACAGAAAGAAAGAAGGAGAGCCAAAAAAAAAAAAGGGGGAAAAAGAAAAACACCACACAACTAACTACTCCTAATGTCACCCCTATTCATGACAGGCATCTAATAATCTACAGAGATACTATCATTTAAACTCAGTTCCCTAAGTTCTGAATTGTGTCTTGTTTTTTTGGTGGTGGTGGTGTTTTCCTCTCTTCTCCATCAAGCACAAGTCAGCCCTAGATGCATGTACAGTATTTGAACACACAACCTTGTGTTCCACAAAAAGCAACTGAGTAGTTTTTTCTCTCTCATGAAATATTGGTTGAATTTTTTTTTTTTTTTAAACAAAGGTGATGCAGATCAAATCTTCATCAGATAGATCATTAAGCTAATGAGCATGGTTGTAAATACAATGATTTTAACAGAATACTACAATGTTACAGAACACCACGATGCCCAAGACCAGCATCAGGCTGCAGCAGGTGAAATACCACCTCATGCAAGCTAGTTATGTAAATTAAGACAGCCTTCAGACTATTACACAGGAACAGTTTACAAGTGCCCATTTACAATTACCGCATTTCGCCAAAACACACTTCGTTCATGTGTACGAGACTTGGCTGTTTTATAGCTCAAGTCCTAAAGCTTCATTCAGGAAAAAACTGTTCTTGGCCTGATGCTTCTATAACTTTTGAAATCCTTAGTCCTTGTTAGGTTATGCACTAACACAACGCTTCCCATTTAGCTGTGGCTTTGATGACTGTAACAATT